CCTCTTACCCACCCCCCATCCCCCCACCCCAATTTGTCCAGCTATGTTTAACTCCTCAGAGAGAAATCTCTGTGCCAGTGAGACTATGTGTACCAGCACACATGAACAAAACACTTTAGGTTTGGGGCATATGTCCTGGCCTAGTCTTCTCAGATAAAAGGTAAACACATAGTTAGCAACGTGACCAAACACCTGCTATAAACAATTGTTCATATTCCCCTTTAATGGGTTCACCTCAGTCTGTCTTGATATAAAAAAATAGGCTTTGAAACAAGGTAATTGTACTAGGAAAATCACATTTTATCTTGTTTTCAGATATCACAGAAGAACCTATAATTTCTGATACAATCTGTTCAGTTGGGAACAGCTGTTAGTATCCCTGGGAAGGGATTAGAAACATAGACTGAAACATTTAGGACCAAGACATAGGACTACAGAAGGCAAGATACTGGATGGGTGATCTCAGTGCCCCTACAGTATCCTCTCTTCAACAACAGCAAACTTGTGTGCCTAAGTCATTAATTATGGGAATGAGTGCAGACATTTGTCTTTGTTTAGATGGTTGGGTTTTTTTTTTAAAAAATACATTTAGAATTTTATTTGTCTTACTCTAACTAAATAATAAGACCAATAGTGGGATATTATTTGCAGGCCTTTGTCTTAGTCTCCCTTTGATCTCAGCACTGTTTATTCAGGGTCTAAAACCATTCTACAAAAAAATAATTTAAAATTGTTCTGTCTCTTCCAGTCTACAGCTCCATTAGTGTCCTTGCTGTCACTAACAGACTTGCTCCCATATGGTGTCTTTCATTTAAAAACAAGCAAATCACCTCTGTATTAATATTGAAGGAGTGTTTCTATGTGGTGCTAACATCTACTGAGGGCATGTTCATAATGCAATTTCCAAGACATGCCAGCAGAGACCAGTCTTGTCCAACTTTAACCTATCAAAAGGCAAGGCCTTGTAGGCCATAAATTCAAATGAATGAGGAGAGAAGAGAGGAAAGACAGTTCCTTGATTCTTATTTTCATGTCTCTCCTAGGAAGCTTCATGGGCCAAGCTGTGTAAAACGTCAGACAACAAAGAAAGTCGAGAATATGCAAGCCAGAGATATTTAGGACCATATTTTCTAACAATGGTATAATTTTAGTGGGGGAATTTCACAGGGAAGTAATAATCATCTCACATCAGTCCTGGATTCTTTAGAGTTTACAGAAGAAGCAGCAGCTACAAAGAAGCAGGCAGAACTACAGAGACGCCCTGAGCTTTACAGATGTGTTTTAGGGACACTAGGACGTTCTTTTGATAAATATTCAGTACTTTTGACCATGAACCCCTAAAATTAAGCAACAGCCCCCTTTTCAGGACATATATGTGTACTGAAAAGATGACATGATGGAAGGAGAGGATGTATAAAATCACATCCTGTGGTCGATTGACCTTGGCTGGCTGCCAGGTGCCCACGAAGCTCCTCTATTACTCCCTCTCCTCAGCAGGACAGGGAGGACAGAAAATAAGATGAAAAAGAACTTGTGGGTTGAGATAAAGGCAGTTTAATAAGGAAAAAGCAAAGACCATGTGCAGAAGCAAAGGAAAACAAAGATTTATTCTCCACTTCCCATCAGCAGGTGATGTTCAGCCACTTCCTGGGAAGTAGGGCCTCAGTACACGTAGTAGTTGCTTCAGAAGACAAATGCCTTAATAACGAATGCCCCCTCTCCTCCTTTACCTTAGTTTTATTCCGGAGCATGGCATCATATGGCATGGAATATCCCTTTGGTCTGATTGGGTCAGCTGTTCTGGGCATGTCGCCTCCCAACCTCTTGCCCACCACCAGCCTATGGAACAGGGGTGGGGGGAATGGGTGGGTTTGGAGACACAGCCTTGATTCTGTGCAAGCACACTGCTCAGCAGTCTCTCACCTCCATCTTCTCTCTTTCCCCCTCCTCTCCTCCTTCTTTCCTTCCATCTCCTCTGTCACCTGCTGCTTCTTTCCTTCCATCTCCTTTGTCACCTCCTGCTGTTCTTTTGTCTCCTCTAGAACATCCTTTTCTTCCACCTCCTCATTCTTCTGTCCTTTTGTCTCATTCTTTTCTTCTTCTGACTCCTCTGTTGCCTCCTTCTTATCTTTTTTCTGCTTTTTCTGTCCCCTCCTTTTCCCTTCTGGTACCTCCTCTATTGGCTACTCTTCTTTACTTCTGTCCCCTTCTTTTCTTTTTCTACCTCCTTTGTTTCTTCCTTCTTCTCTTCTTCCACTTCCTCTTTCACCTCCTTCTTCTCTTCTTCTGCCTCCTTTGGCGCTTCCTTCTTCTCTTTTTACACCTCCTCTAATGTGTCATTTTTCTTTTATTCTGCATCCTCTGGCACCTCCTTCTTCCACCTGCTCTGTCACGTCCGCTCTTGGCTTCTTTCTCTTCTTTACATATCTTCTCCTGCCTCCTACATCTCTTTTTCCACCTCTTCTATTTCCTCCTTTTTCTCCTCTTCCACCTCCTCTCTCACCTCCTTCTTGTCTTTTCACCTTCTTCTTTCTTTTTTTCTGACTCCTCTGTCACCTCCTTTGCTTGATTTTCTTTCTTTCCTTCTCATCTGCCACCTCCTTCTTTTCTTCTTTCCACTTTTTCTGTTGCTTCCTTTTTCTTTTATTGTGCCTTCTCTGGCGCCTCCTTCTTCTCTCATTCTACCTTCTCTGTTGAATCCTTCTTCTGCTTGCTCAGTTGCCTTCTCCTTCTCTTCTGTTTCCTCTGTTGCCTCCTCTTTTGGCTCCTTTATCTCTTCTTCCATCATCTCCGTCTTCTCCCGGCACCTCTGTCTTCTCCCGCCTTCCCTGGCACTTCCTTTGTCTCTCCTTTACTTATCTTCTCCCATCTCCTCTGTCATCTTCTTCTTCTCCTCTCCTCCTCTTCTATTGCCTCCTTCTCTTCTTCCACCTCCTCTCTCATCTCCTTCTCTTCTTCCAGCTCTGATGTCACCTACTTTTTCTCTTCTTCTGACTCCTCTGCCACCTCCTCCGTTGGCTCTTTTTTATCTTCTTTCCTCCTCCTGTGTCACCACCTTCTTCTCTTCTTTCTGCATTTTCTGTTACCTTCTCCTGCTCTCCTTGTGCCTGCTCTGGCGCCTCCTTCTTCTCCCCTTCCGCCTCCTTCTTGTTTTCTTTCCCTTCCTCTGTCACCTCCTCTTTTGGCTCCTTTTTCTCCCTTTCTGCATCTCCCCTCTCACTTCCATCTTTTCTTCCTCCACCTCCTCTGCTCCTCCCTCTTTTCTTTTTCAACCTCCTCTGTCACCTCCTTCTTTTCCATTTATTCCTACTCTTGCTTCTCCTTCTCTTTTTCCGCCTCTTTCTTCCCTACTTCCTCCTCCTTCTGTTCCTCCACCTCTTTCTTTTCTTCCTCTTCTTCTGTTGCTTCCTTCTTCTCTTCCTGCATTTCATCTGTTGCATCTTTCTTCTCTTTCCGCCTCCTCTTTTGCCTCCTTTTTGCAAATGATATCCTGGGCTGCATTAGACAAAGTATTGCCAGCAGGTTGCGAGATGCTCCTTCCCCTTTATTTACTACTGTTAAGGCCACACATGGAGTACTGTGTCCAGTTCTGGGCTCTTCACCACAAGAGAGACATGGACATCCTGGAGAGCATTCAACAAAGGGCCACAAAGATGATTAAGGGACTGGAGCACCTCAGGTAGGAGAGGCTGGGAGAGCTGGGACTGTTTAGCCTGGAGAAAGAAGGCTCAGGAGGGATCTGATTAATGTATGTAAGTACCTGAAGGGAGGGTGCAAAGAGGATGGAGACAGGCTTTTTTTCAGTGGTGCCCAGTGACAGGGCAAGACAATGGGCACAAACTGAAATGCAGAAGGTTCCTTCTGAACACAAGGAAATGCTTTTTTACTGTGAGGGTGACTGAGCACTGGAATAGGTTTACTGGGAGGTTGTGGTGTCTCCCTGCTAGAGATACTCAAAAGCTGTCTAGACACAGTCCCGGGCCACTGGGTCTAGGTGGCCCTGTTTGAGCAGGAGGTTTGAACAAAATGACCTTCAGAAGCTCCTTCCATCCTTAACCATTCTGTGATTATATGATTCTGCAAAACCCTCCCAGTAGTTGCAGGATCACCACATCACATGGTATAACATCGTTATTTGCATAGAGATGTGACTTTACACATCCTCTCCTTCTATTGTCTTATCTTCTGAGTAGCCAGTATGACCTCTAGACTGCAGGCAGGCTACTATAGAAAAACTGCTATTCATTACAAATATACAGCTGTTTACACAGATGTGCCTAAGATGTCATTGCTGAGCATCTAAAACAAATACCTTTGACTATGGTTTCTGTAGCTGCAGCTCCCCTGCCACCTTCTACAGCAGTAGACTAAGGAGAATACATATAAGGACAGGGAGTGTGATAATGAGGAGAGCAGCTGTTTCATGGGAAACTTCTTAGAATAGTTGCTTTTTGTGCAGTGCCACTTCAAGCTGGCAAAAGAAGTACTGCATAGGAGAAAATTGTACCTCAGAGCTGGAACTGTGACTGCAGAACTTCAAGATGGAAGTGACCACTAGAGATCTCTGGTTTTCTGCTACCACCTGGAAATTGCACAGCTGTGACCAGTCAATAGCCAGCTCATTAATCTGCTGAACATTGAATGCTGATAAGTTTGTTTTCACAGGGCATTAAAATTGCATTTGCCACTCTAAACTGAAAATGCTCAAGAGTTGAGAAATAGAAATGGATCATTCCTCTGTTAGGTTCCCAGAGCTGATAAAGCTGGTTTTCAGTGCTTATGCAAGAGGTCTGAGCTAGGACTGTAAGGTTATGATTTTCAGGAACTGGTAATTTACTAAAAGAGAATTTAAAAAAATCTTAAAAAAAAAAAAAATCACCCAAAAGTCACTCCCAAAATTACCACCATGGTGTTTATATTTCTTAATGATTCCAGCATAAACTACTACAGGGCATTTGGATTACCAGTAATAATTCCAGACAGTAATAGTGTGAACGTGTTTGGTATCACATTGTAAAGGTGGTCATGTGTAAAGATGATCTCTGTGTAAGAAGATCAGAGGCTGAAGAGAATGAAGAACTCAGTATGTCTCTGCTATATGAGAGACAATGCTCTCCCACTGCTTCCCTGCTGTATGTCTGTAGCCTGACACGAACAGTGAGTAAGATCATGGACCTCAGAGTGTTCTGAGGAGCAGATGAGTGCTCCCTGGGAGCAAGGAATGGTGTGTTACGCTCTTTGCTGAGCAGCTCCTGGAGTCAGAAGAATTTTGGCTACCAGGGTGTGGAAGGAGTGGTGTGTGAAGCCGAACCTTTCAGAAATGTCTTTGGAGGACCAGAGTAAGTGTAGGATGCAACTAGAGTTAGCCTCTTCAGAGTCTCCACACTCTATCCAGTTTGAGACTACAGTGAACACAGGTTTCTGTTATGCATCCGTATTCCTCTAGCCAAGAACACTTTAGCTCCTTTTAGAGCAGAGCCAGGAAGCAAAGTAACATTTATGTAACATGGTCTATCAGGAGACTAGGACGCCAGCATGAAATTGAGTGACCCATCCTGGCAGTACAAAAGTCTCCTAGCAATTTTGGTGAAATGGAGTGTGAAGATCTTTTACAGGACATGCTCCCAGCTGATTCCTGCTCCTTGCTCTCACTAGCTATTCTCATCACCTCCCACTCCTTTTTTTGCTGTAATCAAATAGTATGTTTCACTGCAGCATATCCAGCTTTGCCACATCAGTGAGCAACATAGTACATTTGCTCCCTGTGATTGTTATGTGCTTCATATGCTATGTCTTCCATATGAGCATGAGACAAACAATTGATCTGTGCTGAGTGGTATGCAGACTGTCAAAGACATGACCTAAAACCGGAAGCCCAAAATACACAAGTGTATTGCCATACTTTCTTAAAGATACCTTTGGCTCTTTTATGTGTTGTTTCCTTTTCTTTGAAGAAAATGTAAGTCCTAGTTTATGTGATAAAGACAGGAGTACAGACAGGCGTGGGGGGAGGTGGGTGGGGGAAACCTAATAATACCCTGTCCTCACTTTTCCCAGGCCCATCACAGAAGAGCAATTAGTTCATCAAAAGCTCATCTTTACAAGCAACGAAGACAGAGGCACAATGAGAGGCAATTTCTGCCTTCAGCTGTCCTTCACAAGGAGAGCATCAGGTGATGGCAGATTTTTGTGGTTTCCTTTCTGTACCCATGAGGTTTTGCTGTGAAGAGATGCCTTGGTCCAGCTCAGAACTGTATGCATTTCTGTGGCAAGGAAGAGAGGGATCTTGCAATTAAGCAGCATGTGGAGCAGGTGAATAAAAACGCTGCAGGGCACACTGTTGCTTGTAAAGCTGCCAAGGGGCTGTCCCTTCCACAATGGAAGGTATGCCTGGTGTCCTGGGTATGTTTCCTCCCGCCATCCTCTTATGTCCTTAATCAGAGGCTGGGTTCTTCTCCCACACCAATCACTCTCTCATTGGGCACCTCTGTTGTTGGGTGGATCATCAGTATGTGAAAGAACTCTTTTCTTGGTGCTGTGGTGCGGTCCGTGGGGAACCGGTGGCTTCTGTAGCACCAGTCCTAAGAAGTGTCTGCTGCCTTTCACTAACCACATCAGCAGTGCCTCAATTCCTAATGCTGATCTATGGGTTTGTATTTCTGAAGGCTTTTTGGTTTTCAAGCTAGATGCTGCTGCACCGCTTTGTCTATCCCTTTTCCCTCCAAAAATTCGTGGCTCTATTCCCCCACTTCTTCCTTGTCTTTCTTCTGCTCTTCCTCTGCCCCTCTTCAATCTGTCTCATATTTTTCAGACTCCATCTCTCACTCAGGCAAGGTGGGGATTTTTATCTTAGTGCTCAACCCCCTCACTGTACTGTGTGATCACTCGCAGCACAGAAATATGTGGCTGCATCCTTGGATGTCACATTCTTAATAGTCATCACAGAGTGATAGTTATTGTCTCTGCTTATCTCAAACTTGGCCTCACTGTAACCTTCCTCGTAAGAGTTCTGCATCCATGTAGAAGTACTGGCTACTAACTTCAGACCATTTCTTGGAGGCTGCTGGTACCAGAACAAGTAGGCAAGTGTGGTGTAATTCTGGTAGCAGAAGATGTCCACAGTCTCTCCAGCTCTCTTCAGGGTTTCTTCTGGCCACTGAGTGATGAGGTATCCGACCCCAGCACCTACGTGGGTGAGAGAGAAAAAGAGAAAGGGAGGAGAAGAAGGCTAAAAAGGGTTCTTTACCTCACACCAGCCTTGCATGGCCTGGATGAGAGCCGTGATGCAGATGGATCTGTTGTCTCTCACCAGGTAAAAGAGCAAGCAAAACAGTCAGCATGGCCTATCAGCTGTCCCAGGACACTGTGTTACTGCTCATTGGAGTTAGAAGAGGTTAGAGAGGCTGATGCCCCTCCCCTAGTTCTGATTTTTCTATCAAGCTTGGGCAGGGAAGAGACAGTCCACCTTTGATACCTTCTTGGGTGAGCCATTAAAAGCAAAGCTAATTATTCATGTGGCTGTAAGTTTTGCTTTAGCCTTTCCACAAGACAGGCAGTGTTCTGAGTTCCTGACAAAAATGTGGGATTGTTTACAGACCAGTGAGTTGCTGGCTGAATGTTGCACTGTGTCATTCCATCATTGTGCATGTCTTCAGTGTTGGATCTGTCAGCCATGAACCTGGGAATATTTGCCTCATAAATGATTTTTTGACTCATGTACACCTGTGGATATAACTTGGGCCATCTTTCCACAAGGGTTAATTCCAGTAAATGTACACATACATTGTT